GCTGGCTGGCAGGTGAGCTGGGGATTTTTTGTGTTTTGTATTGTTGTAAGCCTTCCCATGTGCGCCTGCCATAAAGGCTGGTTATAGATTCATGCAGGTACCATGTTTTTCTACAGGTAAGTATTAACCCTTTTTAAAGCGTTTTTGTTTTTGTTTTTTAAAGTTTTTGCATTTATATGCTAGCCATAGATATATGCAAAAAAAAAGTGAGGGTTTAATAACCCTTTAAGTAATAGGACAATGCACCTCTAAAGGGATCCCTGGGACTAGTGGCGTAACCATAGCCATATAAAAAAAAACATCCATATATATATATATATATATAAAGTCCTGTACTTGTATATATCAAACTGACTGCCAAGAAATTTACACTGACACATAACAATGGAGCTCTCTGAGGATGCCTAATGAATAAAGAAAAATCGAATGGTTAGATTTGCAAACTTGCTTGATTTACCCGGACAGATTAACATTAAGTTATATTCAAAATTTCACCTATTAAAACAAAAAAAGAGGAAGTTAAATGTCACAATGCGTTAAATGTTATTTGTGTCATAACAGTCAGGATTAACATTTCTGATTACAAAGTGCTTTAAAAATGTTTAAAGGGTCAAAAAAAAACTAAAAATAAATGACATAAAGTGGTAACTGCAGCGAGAGACATTCCCGCCCGGTAATACCACAGCCAGAAATGGCCACCACCACAACGCATGACCCAGATATGAAGAAGATGTATCTCAGCTTTGAACACCGTACATGAAAATCATAAGAAAGATTTCCAAATGCTTTATTTATTTATTTTTTTATTGTGTGTGTTTATATGAATTCCTGAGCCCAGAATATTTGACAAAGCACAATTTAGCAGCATATGTTTTATAACACTATGTTGCAAAAGTCATTTTTTTGTATGTATTTTGGTGCTGTACATTTTAAGGCCTCATTCACACAGCGTAGATTGGGGCCGTCCTTAGACCGCTGGATCCTGGAGGAAAAGAAGTGGAGGGTCAAGCAGCCCAGAGGGACAGTGGATCAGGTAAGTACAGGTGAAACTCGAATAATTAGAATATCGTGCAAAGTTCATTTATTTCACTAATGCAACTTAAAAGGTGAAACTAATATATGAGAGAGACTCATTACATGCAAAGCAAGATAATTCAAGCCGTGATTTGTCATCATTGTGATGATTATGGCTTACAGCTCATGAAAACCCCAAGAACCCCAAATCCACAACCTCAAAAAAGTAGATTATTACATGCAATCAATAAAACAAGGATTGTACATAGAACAATATCGGACCTCTGAAAAGTACAAGCATGCATATGTACTCAGTACTTGGTTTGGGCCCCTTTTGCAGCACTTACTGCAATTACTTTGCACGATATTCTAATTATTCGAGTTTCACCTGTATATCCCCTTTATTTGCATCCCTTAGACAAATTGAGCACTTAACCCTTGCAGTGCAGGGGTAGCCCCCCAACTTTTTACATTTCCAGATTTCTTCTTTAAGGCCTCATTCCCACAGCGTAGATTGGGGCCTTACAGATCCGTGCGGCATGCACAGCCGTATCAGGCCGCTACCGGGAAGGACAGGTGCTGCGTGTGATTGTACGCAGCAGCCTGTTCTTCCCTATGGGAGGACGCGGCCCCATGCTGTCGTACACTTATCCGAGCTGCACATCCGTGCGGGTATCTATGCTCGGACGCAGACAGGATGGATCTATTGCTGTGTAAGGGTTTTTTGACCCTTTAAACATTTTCAAAGCACTTTGTAATCAGAAATGTTAATCCTGACTGTTATGGCACAATACTACTTTAACTCTTGCAGTGTGGGCCTATCCCCACTGCCTAGGGTGTGTTTACTTACTTTACCCCCTACGTTCACCTCAAGTGTAAGTCCGTGCGGGTGCGTGTTTCCTGGCTCGGACACTGGCAGGATCCATCCGTACGGACGTGCAGGGTGGGTGAGCGTAGGGGGGCGTATGGCCGTGTAGTCCCATAGAGAAGGACAGGGGCTGCGTACTAATCACACACAGCACCTGTCCTTCCCGGGAGCTGCCCGATACAGCCGTGTACGAAGCATAGAGCTGTACGTGCCAACCTTTTCTCGTGTGAATGAGGCCTAAACATACACATATACTATCTACATATTGTGACAGTGTGTGGCAATGCCACTGTGTAATCTCCAATTATGAGTCCATATTTTGATAGAGGCCAGCGTCTGCTGATGGCACAGGAGGTGCACAGCCTTTAAAGTAAAAGTGTTGGGAAGGAGTCCACTGCAGCAGGGTGTTGCGGGTTGAAAAAACCAAGTGTGCAGGTTAGCACAAGACTGAGACTATCTGGAGGAACAGACAGTGGCCTGAGGGCTGAGGCCGGAGCAGCAGTGCTGCAAATGCAAAGCCAAGAGGCTGGATGTACATATGTTGCCAGGAGATGCTAAAGAACCCCTGCGAGGGTAATTGTAATGTTTTTGTGAACTTTGATTTAATAAAAGTGGACAAGGAAGCCCTTAAAAGAAGATTTCAGCAAGTGAATGTGCTCTGTGTGGAGCTAATTCTCACAATATACCGTTGTGTGAAAAAGTGTTGGCCCCCTTCCTGATTTTTCATTGTTTTGCACGTTTGTCACACTTTAATGTTTCAGATCATCAAACAAATTTAAATATTAGTCAAAAATAACACAAGTAAACACAACATGCAGTTTTTAAAGGAAGGTTTTTATTATTAAAGGAGAACTATGGGGTTAAGGCTTTTCCCCATAGTTCTCCTTAGGGTAACGGGAGGACACAAACTAGCGCCCTCCCGTCACCCTAAGCTCAGTATACTGCGAGCTACATCTACATCATCTACTGAAACGGATCCCAACAATTATGTCTGGATCCGCCCAGCTGTGTGAGTGACAGCTTGCTCTGCCTATCTAGAGGCAGAGCCAGCTGTACCCGCCCCGTCCGTTCCGCCAGTCAGCGCAGGAGGATCAGAGCGGGCAGAGAGCCGTGACAGGATCGGGAGGTGAGCGAATGCCGGTATGTGTTTGCTCACTTCCCGATCTACTGAGCCGACCTGTGACAGTCTCATTGTCACAGGTCGGCTAGAACTACGAGGTGAGTGAAAAGCACCCACCTCATAGTTCTCCTTTAAGGGAAAACAAAATCCAAACCCACATGGCCCGGTGTGAAAAAGTGTCCCCTAAACCTAATAACTGGTTGGGCCACCCTTAGGAGTTGAACTCTGCCATGCAGGCCATTTTTGCCCAGTCTCTTATGGTGGAGTCATGAACATTGACCTGAACTGAGGCGAGTGAGGCCTGCAGTTCTTTGGATGTTGTTGTGGGGTCTTTTGTGACCTTCTGGATGAGTCGTCGCTGCGCTCGGGGTAATTTTGGTTGGCTGCCCACTCCTGGGAAGGTTCACCACCGCTTCATGTTTTCGCAATTTGTGGATAATGGCTCTCACTGTGGCTCGCTGGAGTCCCAAAGCTTTAGAAATGGCTTTATAACCTTTTCCAGACTGATAGATCTCAATGACTTTCTCATTTGTTCCTGGATTTCTTTGGATCTCGGCATGATGTGGAGCTTTTGAGGATCTTTTGGTCTACTTCACTTAGTCAGTCAAGTCTTATTGAAGTGATTTCTTGATTGCGAACAGGTGTGGCAGTAATCAGGCCTGGGTGTGGCTAGAGAAAGTGAACTCAGGTGTGATAAACCAGAGTTAAGTTATGTGTTAACAGGGGGGGGGGCAAACACTTGTCTCTTGTTACCTCATTGAGCCACTTCCTGTCTATATGCACTCACTCCAGCTCGGCCGCACATCATTGCACTAGCCACCGACTTCTGATGGTGACAATGGTGGGCTTCTGATTAAGGTGAAGCTCTGCTGACTTCAATCATCGAATCAAATGCAAGCACAAATATTGGGGTTTTATCTATTTATTTTCCTTGCATATGATTGGGTATTTCTTTGCAAAGTGAAATATCACCTCATTCACAAAGCCAAGGTAGACTCAGCGGTGTATTTAAGTTTTTAAGTTTCGTGCTGCCCTAGGCAAGACGAAACTCGGCGCCCCCCCCCCCCCCCCTGCACAGCCACAGACCAGTCCTGACCCCCTCCATCAGCCTGCAGAGCCACAGATCTCCCCCTGCACACAGACCCCCATCCCGATCCTGCACAGCAATATGTTTTTACTGACCCGTTTTCTTCACTTACCCGATCGGCGCCGGCAGGGACTAGCTTCCTCTGCCCACGCCTCCTCCTTCTATGCACCTCCTCCTCCTGACGAGCCACCCCAGCAAAGCTACGGGGACTGGACGCGCCTACTCCTCCTTGCCGTCTCTTCCGTATCTCCGCCTCGCAAGCGCCTGACACAAGCTGGACCCGCCTCTTCCTTGTCCTGCTCGCCGCCTCTGTGAGTTCATGAGGCAGCTGATGCTGCTCTATTTCGTGCAGCCCGGCTCGCCTTGCTGTTTTGGGGGTGGCATTTTCGCCGCCCCCTGAATTCTGCCGCCCGAGGCAAACGCCTTGTTTGCCTCGCGGCAGATACGCCCCTGGGTAGACTTCACCAACACAGTGCAAAAATTCCCTTGCAAAATGAACGGCCTATGTGCCTTTAGTAAACAAACCCCTCTCTAGTCTACAGCCGGACAACGCATGAACGCAATTGAGAGATAGTGGTCATCCCATCACAGGAAGCGGCTAAGCAAGGACTCTCCATGGCAGGATCTCCAGGTATCCTTTTATTAAAAGCTGCAGATTTCAAAAAAAAGATCAAAAACAACTTTTTGAAACATGTTAATGTTTGTGTGAGATTTGAAGCTTCAATCAGGGCAGAGGTAGGGAGGGGGGGAACGGGTGCAATAGTTTAAGGGGAAATGGAGGAGCACGTAGCTCCGGTTCTGGCATCTCCGGGGAAGACGTAGCTTCCCCCAGTTCACTTATTCAAACAAGTGTGGCAAGCTGACTTGAGAACATAGTGTGCTGCCTCACCCCGCCTGCATGCAACTCACTGCCCAGAGCTGCTTAAGGCATTTCATTCAGATTTATACTCCTCACTCACACACACACATACACGCACACACATACACACATAGACACACTCAGCTATTACTCCCCCTCCTCTTCTCCCTTGTAATATGGGGATCCCTCTCCATCCCTCAGACAGGAGATTGTCTTAGCAGTTGTTTAAATGCTCGCTGCCTGCGCTGGGAGAGAAAGCAGCAAAGAAGACAAGATTTTCATCCCCTGCACAGCTGTGCTTGCCGAGATAAGCAAAGTCACTGGAAGACGGACCTTAAAGGAGAGAAGGACCGTGCTGAATTGAACAGAGGAAAAGCCCTCCTGCTCTCCCCTCGCTGTGATTTTCCTCTGTAATCAGTCTCTCTCTTTTTTTTTTTCTTTCGCTCCCTCGGCTCTTTTCCTATATTCCTCGTGTCTGTCTCTTTCGGGAAAAGCAGAGAGGAAGACACGAGAAGTGAGGAGCCGGAGCGAGACACTATCTTGCCAACCTCTTCCCACCGTCGAGGTAAAAGTGCTTTTGGGACGGTGTGCGATTGGGCACGTGCGGAGAGGGGGGAAACGGGGCGAGAAGGGGGTTGTGCCCGGTTTCCGATAACCCCTCCGTAGCCCTGTCTCCCTAAAAAACTTGCTTGCCAATGCCCATCGAGATAGTCTGCAAGATCAAGTTTGCAGACGAGGATGGGAACCAGAAGGAGAAAGAGGAAGGGGAGAGGGAAAGCCTGATCGGGGATGAGGCTGCAACGGCGAACCGGGACTTGGCAGGTTTCGCCAGGACCAGCACCCTGCACGGACTGCGGCATATCATCAGGACGGGTAGACTGGGCGTCAAGCAGAGCCTCTGGGCAGTGGTGTTTTTGGCATCCCTGGTGTTTTTCCTGTACCAGGCAGCGAAGTGTGCCTTGTATTACCTCGAACACCCCCACGTCACCGCCGTGGATGAGGAAGTGATGGGCGAGATGATCTTCCCGGCCGTCACCATCTGTAACATCAACCGGTTCAGGCACTCGGCGCTCTCGGACTCCGACATTTACCACTTGGCTAACTTGACGGGACTCCCCCCGAAGGACCGAGACGGGCACCGAGCCTCGGATTTAATGTACCCCGACCCGGACATGCTGGACATAGTCAACCGGACCGGTCACCAACTGGCGGAGATGCTTAAAAGCTGCAACTTCAGCGGGAACAACTGCACTGCACATAACTTCTCGGTGGTGAGTCTCTGGCTACGTGCCAGCTTCTGTCACTTTTACTACACACTGTCTTGCAATCTGTGTGTTCCTAGCCCTACAAGTGCTCGTCGATGACAGGGAAAATATTCCAGGCTTTACCCCACCACCCCACCCATCCCAGGAGACCTGTCACTCGGCTGTCATCCCACAGCCCCCTTACCCAAAGGTTGCAATCCTCTGACAGCTGCATTCTGTCTTCCGGGCGCCTCGCAATCCTCTCTCTGATACAAAGTTACAATCCTGACACAGTATAAATCACAGCTGATTTATATTCTACAATCAATGCGAGATGTTACTTCATACGAGCTTTTATCCATCTTTTTCCCACCACCGGCTGCATTAATCCATTCTGTATCTTTGCGGCAAACGGTAAAATATCACAGCGATGCAGGTCTGATTAGAAGGAACATTTCGGGTCGTGCTTTTTGACACCCGGCGCATTTATTCTCCTGAAGGCATACAATGTAAATTGAAAATAATGTAAATATTTATAGTTTCTTGTACGGGTTTGCCATGTTATTGCCTATATGTGCCAGGGGTACCCTAATCTACCCCGTTTTTTAGAGGAACCCACCGTGATGTGTTCTCCCGACTTGGTCAACTTCCATTGTTTGGTGGATGTGTGTTTCAAGTTTAATACTTTTAAGAATAGCAAAATGCCGGACACTGTGCATGCTGAACTAGAAATCACTTGATTCCTTCACTGAGGACGGTGGATGGAGGGATCTCCCCTGACAGCTATTGTATTCTAACAGCCAGCACTCACGGCTGTCAGGATCCCCGGAAAATGGCTGCAGCTGATTGGCTGTAGTCACTGTAAATGTGAAAAAACTTATTTTGGGCGAGCCAGCCGGTGCCAACGAGGCCACCCACGGCTCGCATTCGGGGTACATCCGAAATTTGATCCATGTATGGCCAGCTTAAGCCCTGCGCCATCTTATCATACCCAAACACCCCATTGGGATTTATTTAAAGGGCAATTTCATCCAATTTTCAGGACCTAAAATCTGCAAATCTGTAGGTATGCCTTATGCTTTCAGCAGATGCTGCTTGTGATTGCAGAGATTGTCCAGCATGCTGCAAGATAATTTCCTTGTTCTCCTCTCGGCTTGCTACATCGTCCCATTATCATTGGAGACTCTCAAACTAGCAGTCTATAGTCGCTTGCCATTGGCTATCGCCGATCAGCAACTTCAAGTAGCAAAAGTAAATTTGCATGTTGAAATGATGACATGTACAGTGTCCACATACAGCCCTGACTGCATATTTGAAGAGAACCTGTCATCAGTAAAAGAGTGTTCGAACACGCAGCAGTTCACCCATCAGAAACGGCGGCATGCTTTCATCAAGTTTGCATTCGTATTTAAATGTCAGACAAGAATTATGAATAGTTATCTGCAGTGTACTGGATAGGGTTGCCACCGGTCCAGGATTCACCCGGACAGTCCGGGTTTTGAATGCTGTGTCTGGGTTTCATGGCAGCAGATCCCCCCCCCCACTCAAAATAGTCTCAACTGTGATATTTACATATGAATGGGCAGCTCTAGTTACATATGAATAAGCCGGGACTCATTCTCCCCAAAAAATTTCCGGGAGAGTGTGTTCGTGTTTCACTTGAAGAAAAGGTGGCAACCCTAGTACAGGAACAGAGTGATATCCAGAGATCACATGTCAGCGTTCTCCCGTAGTAGGTGTTGACAGACGGTGCAAAAGCCATTGATTTTCCACCGCTGATTACTTAGCACGGACAAAGCCAATGTGATCTCAGCATCTCCCTTTCAGCTCCGCAGCACTGCAATGAGTGACAGATCAGATCGACTTTAAGGTCATTTTACAAATAACACCACGGCCGGGTTTTTTGTTTTATTCCTAGTGGGGTGCTGGCTGTTGGTGATTCCCCACCGCCCTGCACATTAGCTGCCGATGATTTTAAACTGCGCCAGGCTAGAAGGAGACAGGACGGGTCCGTAACCCCCTAGTGGTGTGGGAGGTGTTAATTTGTTTTAGCGGAGATTAAATTAGCAGAGAGAAGAAACCACAAGGC